GAAGAAAAAATTGACGGCGAATTCGATGACCTTCGACCGACGAAGCGTGGCAAGTGCGAATCATCAATCACGTCGGGTTTTTCCTCAGAATTAGCTGGCACTCGCGTCTAATCGTTTACACGCAAGACCCTCGCGGGAATCCGATAGCGTCGAAAAGGGTTCGAGTAAACGATATCGATCGCGTACCCAGCCCTCTTTTCATCTTCGTCCCTTTGCTCCGGTTTAACATCGGTGTTGCGCGATTTTTCGAGCCTAACCCTCCATTCGTTTAATACGCTCTATTCGTCAAACAGTGTAGCTCGTTTAACGGAACGCTTCTGTTACGTAACACTGATAATTTCGTGTTTACGATATCTCGAAGCTTCAGAAATTCAACGTAAAATTAGATATCGTTGTTCTTTCAACGTTTACACGGAGCATGTAACAAGGACTTTTTCCTGGTATCGAAAGATATCTAAATCGCTGTAACTACGATGATAATTAATAGCGCGTTAGAAAAGCGAAAGTATTTAGCTCGAACGTATCTAAACGCTTTTGAGACAACTCGTACACGAAAGATTGGTCCTCGGCGAAAGTTTAGCGACGACCCATATACGAGTTCATAGCCATGAGAGGTTTGAAGGAAGATTAGCTAAGACGAAGCTATTGAAATATACATAGTAGCAGGGACAGTAAACCGACCCTCGTGCGATCGGATCTCGCGTGGTCGGTCCTTTAAGGAATTAAATGTTCCTTGATTCAGCAGCCACTCTACTTGCACTCTACTGGAAGAGAGGAAACTTTCTTCGACATCTTTCTTTAAAGATGTCGCCTTGCTAAAGACCTACACCCAATTACTCGGCGCAACTCCATTTTCTTCTCGACTTTCGTATTCAATTTTCTTGGCGGTGAATAGAAAAATCGAAACGAACAGAATGGAATTTTTCCTTTATTCCGACGAACTTCTCGTATCGTGCACTCTCGAATTTCGAATTTTCGTTACGAAGAACACCTTTTATAAACGTCTCTCACGACTAAAGGGTTAACGAGACAGTTTTTATTGTCGCGCGAAGGTCAAGTCGATCTATATCTTGGTTTTTAACGATCGTGCCGCTCGATACTCTTTAACCGCGTATATTTATTATCGTAGTATAGCTGTTTCACCGATTTCACGGATAGAAAAATATTTTCTTTTCGTTCGATTTTTCTTCCATATAAAGTAACAGGATTTAATTGTTCGCGAAACCGGAGCATGTCCGCTGAGCAAACGTAGGGCTGATCGCGTTTTGTAGGTTAATAGGTGACAGCCACTTCGGCTGAACAGCATGGACTCATTCTACTTGATCCGCTCGGATCGGCCTCTTTCCTTTCCTTTCTCCGTTATAACCAGCTGCGAAATTTCCATCTTTCAACTCGGAACACGATTATCCTACTGTTCTCCATCTTTCCGTTTGTACAACGAATCGAAAAAGAAGCGGTTCAAAATGTTTCGTCGATAAACGAACACTGTTTATCAACGATTCTAATCGTTACAACGTTACGGAGTAATAACAAATAGGAGAATATTTTCTTAAACGAATAATTAACGCTGCTATTAAATGTTAATCGTTGCAAAATGAAAATGATCAGGTTGTTTTTAGGAATTTCTTCACGGTGCACGGTCGCGAGAAACACTGATTTATCGAATCATTAAATTACAATGCGACGGTACTTGTACATTTCAATGTGTTAATTGAGGTCGTGTTCTTCTTTTCCCGCTATATTGTTTCCACGTTTCGCTGCAATCTCTTTCACCTATTTTTCCCAATAGGCGAGAAACTGCGCAACAGAAAAGGGTACTAAAATGCAAAGAATAAGAATTACCGAAGCTTAACAGCTTAAAACACGCTGGTCCCTCTACGACTCTCCTTCTGTTTCTCTCTTTGAGCCCCTTCCTTTTTGCACGTTTCTCCCTTATGACTTTCCATCTAGCTCGAGGCAGCTTAAAGGGTCGATACTTTCATCGCGATCCGACTTCTCGCCCTCGGCTGTTCGCCTTTCTCTTTCTTCTTTTCTCTCCTTTTTTTTTTTTCTTACCGAAGCCCACTCACCGGTGGACTCTTTCTCTTTGACCTAGTGCTACCGTTGCCAGCTCGCTATTGGTCCAAGCTAATCGTCAAATTATGTTTTCTTCTTTCGTTTCGACCGATCCACTCGCGCGAGTCTCGTTTTTCAACCTATATTCACGGAAATCCTCGGAATTCACGGCAATATTTCGTTTCGTTTTCTACAGTTTCGCTTTATATCGCGTAATATCGTAAGTTGGCGATTCGTTGTATCGGCAAGCGAATGTTTTTACGCGTATCTTAACTTTTCCGTCGCGATCGAACGAAATTTCGTTAACGCAATAACGTTAATTATCGTTTCGTTATAGCGAAAAGAATCCGTTGTCCGGCATCGTTATCGAGAACATTATTTATCGAGCAACGAGATATCGAGACGTTTAAAAGTACGCGTTAAATAAAAAGTTTTTTTAGTAACGTGTCATGGGCGGGTCAATCGATAAACAGGGCTAATGATGTACGTTAAAAAAAGAAACTCGGAGTGTCGGTATTCCTATTCGACGCGTGTACATATAAAAAAAAAAAGGAAAGGAGGAAAGAGAGGAAGAGAGAAAGGAAGAGAAACGAGATAAATAGCAAATGAGGTAGCCTCCGGCTAGACAGATACTTTCATATCGTGTCCCGGACTTTCAGTGTTCTTCTTGCACCATTCTTTTCCGACCCACCTCGAGTTTCCTCTTTGACCTAGTATCGCACGAACAAGCGCAGGATCGGTGGAAGTTGCAACGAGTTGCGGTAACGAACGAATTTCGAGTGTCTTACAGCTGTTCCGTGGTTCTGTGAGTCTCTTGAAAGTAGAGTTACGAAGCGCGAGACGCAACTATGGTGGTTAGAAGGTCGCATTTGCCACTTTCATCGCCGCTCGAAATCCACCGACAAGCGTCTTTCGAAGTCTTAGGAAATACATGATTTTTCGGAAAGTTCGCGTGTGCATGTTGGGAAACGGGAAGCTTCGCTCCGAGGATTTCCTTACGCGGCGGCAAAATTAATAGACAAGAAAATGATAACAGGGAACGTTGTCCTCGAAATTCGAAAACAGACGATACGTAGAAAATAACGCGATAAAGTAAGTTAGAGAATAAAGTCTCGTTTCGATTAAATCGAAACGGAGATATTTCGAAAGACGATTCTCGTCCGAAGTTTATTGGATCGAAACGAATCGTGTAACGAGGGAATTGAATTTCTTTCTAGACCGAAATAACGTCGCGAGCATCCCCGTAGTAATAAGAGGTCGAAAATGAGAACAATGAGAAGCATCGAGTTTGTTCGCGTATCTCGAACAGATGCAAATGTTGCGTCGTCGAGAGCGACAAGAATAGGAGAACGAAGGAGACCGGTTGCGGAAAGGTAAGAGAGGTTTTAGACGGTACACAGATTTTCTGGAAAATTACGGTGGCTAACGATAACGAAACGGAAGTCTCGGTTGATTCACTGGCCGGATTCGCTTCCTTCTATCCGCTATTAATTAAGGCCATCTCCGGAAGAGGAAAGAAAATCATGATGGAGAAATTAGTTCTCGCGGTGGAAAGGTGGAAGGTATTACCAGTGGACTTATCATCGCGTGAAATAGCGACGCTTCTTAAAATTCTACGCCTCGTTAAGAAATGAAACGAGCGAGTAGACGCGACGAGCATCTTCTGCTTCAAATAATTCCGACCTGCTTTATTCGAAGTCGAATTTGCAACGAACGCTTTGAACGTTTCGAAAGATCCGAGGGTTTCCGAAGTCTCGCGAAGGCGTTGGAAAAGTTGAAAGATTCGAAAACGTCGAGAGAATTTGGGAGAATCTCGAGAGCCTCGACGAACGTTTCCAACGCGGCGCGTCGATACGCGGAATGCTTCGCGGGATGATGCTGAAAAGTTGGCAGATTTTCGAAAGCATCGAAATACTTGAACGTTTCGAAAGCGTCGAAAGCGTCGAAAGCGTTAATCTTTTAAAATCCATGCGCCGTTGCCGCGTAAAAGACTCTCGACAACCGGTAATCGGATATTGTTCGAGCATTAATGTATACGGTGTAATTTTTTTAAACACGATTTGCCGAGCGATCCACTCGCATAGAACGGCATTCGACTCTGATAATCCAATTGGTCGACGATCAGGCGCGTTAAGCTCGTTACGTTCGTAACGCGTCGAGCGTTTTTTTTTCAACGAAGCCGTTCTTCGCCGAATAAACGTCCAGGAAGACGATAAACGTTCTGCACGTTTTGTTCGTAACGAAGGGGCGAAGATTGGTAGGGTGAGAAAAGTGAACAGGAAAAATGGTATCTATTACGTAAGACGAGGCAAGGCGAGGTTGTTCGATGTAGTCGCGCGAAGTAGAACGTAGCGGCGAGAGCGCACGAGAAACGCTTGAATGACTCTTGCTCATAATTATTTCGTAGTTCCAGCTTTAGCCAACTTTAAACTGCACGCTTAAATGGAACGGCTATACGTATATCTCTCGTGGTCTTGCGCATTTGCGAGGCTTGCAAAAAATTTACAAGGTCTTTCACGCTCGATAATAGGATGAGATCCTTCGAGCCTTGGACGTTGGAAATTTATCGAGGCGATCGAAACGTTTTTTTCGCTTGCTTGCCAGTTACGTTTTTGCTAGACGTAGAGAGATAATTGTTACGGTTGCCGATCGTTTAGTTTAGCGATAACGTAGCGACCGTTTAAACGTTCGTAAGTTCGTTAACGAAATATTCGACTCCCGTAAAATATCGTAGAAAATGTTTGCAAACGAAATCGCACGATGATCGGACCGATAGAAGGTAATCTTTCGGCCGTTAACGAACGTGAACGGATTAGACGGATTAAATGAATCGTTGGAACATCGGCGCCTGTGACCGTCGAAAGTCGATTAAAGTAGAAGAAAGTCGTTAGAGTGTCGCGTTCGCGGTCTTTTCCTCATTAACCTGCATCTCTGGTGCTGTTCAGGCAAAGTGGACGAGAAAGCGACGCAACTGCACGCGATAGCGTCGCTGAAGGTGCTGTTGGATGCCACCAAGCCGCACAATGGCGCCGCGACGTCGACCGCCGCCCATTATTCCGGGGCTTCTTCGAAAGAGACCACGCTACAGCTGCAGCAAGGCTCTCAGGGCACCACCACGACCACCACTACGACGACGACCACCGCCGGCACCACCGCTGGCATCCAGGAACTTCCCAACGGTGGTATAGCCGCTGGCCTCGACGCGGGCCTCGAATCGGTAATTATCAAATTCGACGAATGTTTCGTCCCCTTATGCGTCCTCGGATCCTAGTATTCGTGGCTTTGTTCCGCTCGTCTAAACACCCGTGCACGCACCACGCGATATTCCATCTCGAAACAACTGTGAAACCTTTTTTCGAACGTTATATACGTGTAAATTAACTATCGATCGGCGGTTACGTTTCTTTCTTAATTAGTTAGTTATTTAACCTAGACTCGACGAGCAGGTCAATTATCGTCTATCGATCGATTCGAAAAACTTTCGACGTACAACTGATTTCAGGCTTGAACATCGCGCTAAAATTCTATGTTCCTCCGCGAAGGTACACTCGTTCGTATCGGATCTAAACATTTAAAATGGTGCTAATTCTGAATAAGAAGAACGTTGATAGTTTCGTAACTGATAACTCGATTCGATCGACAAGATTCGACGATCGTTGCGGCAACGAGAAACTATCGGTGCCACGATGGATGAGGTAGAACCTGTTACCGACTCGCTGATCTCGGATTCGATTCCCAGCACCGATTTTTCACCAATTCCCGCGTTAGTAGGTCTATCTATCAGAGCCAGAGTGTTCGAAACAGGGAGACATTTCGAGTAGTCGAACGAACGCGAAGATCCAACCAACGATATCGTTTGTCCCATCCTATCTGAAATTCTGTCTGTTAGGTCGCGGACAGAGATAGATGTTTGATAATTCGTCTGAACGCAACGGAGTGGCGATAAGAAAAATGAAGCTAGGAACCTCTTTATTTTCCAGTCGGTCGACCTCTGACAAACGATCTTCGTCGTGCTCTTCTTCCAACATCGGGAAAGAACGCGTTCGAAGATCGATCGAATATAAATCGGATCGGTTTGTAACAACCTCGATTCGATCGATATACCTATCGAATGTACCTTCGATTTATTTCACCGCTAAATGTGTAGAACATCGGTGATATCGAAACGTAGTCAACGACAATAGAAAGGACATTCGAGAATTGGGTCGTACAGCGAAGGACATCGAGCCGAAAATAAGGCAATTGGCTAAGAGTAGCTTTCTCTAGAACAACCAGCCTCGTTTTCGAATCGTTCAAAGTTGTCCGCTTAGCGTGCCGGCTCCGAGAGCTTTCAGCTTAATATCTTCCTCGGGGCTGCTCCTCTTTTCCATCGACGAAACTCGCTCTCGTCCTCGTCGCGATATCCTCGTTCTCCGGAAGTAACGTCCCGTTAAATTCCTCGATGTCGAGTTAACGGACGTTTCGTCTTCACGGTCACCTTGTTTCGAGATCGTTGAACGTCGACGGTCGCGCGAGCATCATTTCTCGTGGTTGCGCGTTGCGTCGAGTAATACGGAACCGTTAAAATTGTTAAAATAGACGAACAAATGTCAAGATTCCCTAGTCGGTTCCTTTCGGTTCCTAATTTTAAGACACGACCTTTTTCGAGTACTCGTTTAAATCCGAAATCTGGAAACGCGAAATCGGTTTTTCACGACTGAAAAATTGGTGGCACGAGCTTTTTCATCGATATTAGCTGTCGAGTGGAACGTGCACGCGCGCGGATCGCGAGGGGAGTGATTCTCGAACCTCTTTGTCCTAAATGAGTGAGAAAGGCCTTTTCATTTTGAATGCACCAGGAATCTGGGTCAATTCTGGCTACAACCCGACATTGCTGCGCTACACACTGCCTATTTCGGTCCTTCTTTTACCTTACGAATAATCGAACCAAAAGTCGCCGACCGATTGTTTTTCTTTTTCATCCGAGTTCCGTGATTTCTGGCACGCCTTTTCGAATTTCAAGGTCGACTGTTCTCGATCAACCCGCTACACGAATCCTTTGAAATTCAAGTACTCGTATTTACGTACCGTATGAAATTTTTCAAACGAGCGTTATTTATCTTCGCGAAACGTCTTTGTATTTTTAATGGGCCGATAATAATAACGCTATATCGTACAGTAGCAATTTAGGAAAGAACTCGTCTCGAGTCTAGGTTCGCGACAGTGGAATAGTCGATGTATAGTCGGACGCCGCGTAACCGTGCCTGTTACGCTCTTACGATGCTATACATAGTACCTACATAGATGGTATAAAAGTTTGAAACCGCTGTTCGTTCGGCACTGTGAATATCCTAAGAAATAGCGAAAGAATCATCTACGTATCGTGAATCGTATAAAATTCAAATAATAAATGTATGACTATACGATTAACCTGCGTCGAGAACGATAACGACACCTATCCTATAGGATAGGTTAAATTCTATCGTTAAATTATAAGTTTGAAGCATTTCTAAATACTTGTTGGTTAGAAAATTCCGTTTCGTGTCGTGTCTCGCGCCAGTAGAGAGTTCAGTCAGACGACTCGAGCAAATGGCGAAATGAACGGTAATGCTCGTCGGGAAGTACAATTATCCCTGATGGAACGATTGCAGCTGGAAAATCCAAACACCTACGAGGCCATTGTGCCGCGGTTAGCCGGGGATGAATAAGGGTTAGCTTTGTGCCTTTACCGCGACACGCGGTTTCTCAACAGGCACAATGTCTCCGCCGTGAGCTTTATTGTATTTCGCGACAATACCACACCTAACCCGAGCCAAGTGTATTCCGGACGATAAACTTCCGGATCCCTCTTTTTCGTTCCAGTCGACGAGATACACCGAACGAATTAAACGATCGCGTTCATTCGAAGTACAGAAAATAACGACACTCTATAATTACGAATTTTAGCTTCGACTAAAAGTAGTTCGACTTAGTATTCGATCGGTATAGTCCCTGATCGAAAGAGTCGAAAAACGAATAGTCGTTAAGCCGAGGAATACGTTTATGTTTCAGGGAGAGGAGGATGAACCTCCAGAGGCCCTGAACATGGGCTGGCCCAGCAGCCCTAAAAAGAGACTAACTTACATTCTGGTAGCGCCAATTTTGTTCCCTCTGTGGCTCACGTTGCCGGACACGAGGACACCCAAGGGTAAGCGACAGGAACGTACAGGTTCGCGAAGACGACGATGAAATGTTCCGAAAATAGCCGATGAAACTTTCTTCCGTGGTGGCCGCGATGAAACGTTTAATCGGAACCGGATATTTCTGTCCGTGGTCTGCAATATTTAATACCGTCGTTCGATCGTACCGACCACGCAAGGATACCCTACCGCCTTCGAAAAAGCACACCGTTAACTCATTCATGCCTCGGTTACGAGTTTATAACGTACCCTCGTGCAATCGTTTAAACGAATAAAGATTATTAAAACTAACCGAGCTTTATTAGGCGAACAGAGCCTGATTTTAACACCGATATTAACGCAAACGTCTTTACAGCAAAAAGTATTTTATCCTAGCGAGTATACAGGCCACGAAATTGTTTATTTTCCATTGCAAGGATAAAAAGGGTTCCCTTGGAAAATCAAGATAGACGGCACACGCGTCTGTTATTCGAAACCGTGGCTCGTGTTCATCGTCAATCAGAGACGTGTCGCATTATGCACCGCCTATTAACGACGTGACGCCGAGCGGTACTATTTCAACGAGACACAATAGCTGCGACGAAAGATGATATTGAGACGCTAATTTCGAATCGACGACTGATTGTTGGCTCGTGCAGGCATTCACACGGTCCCGTTGCGAGCGACCATTCGCTTTTCATTGTTACAGAAAATTGCTTCGCGATCTCTCGATTTCAACGATAGCCATCGATATCGGCGACATAGATGATCAATCGACAAATATTTTCAGAATGTAACCGAGGAAAATTTCACCGAATAACGATCGTTGCAACGACCGTACCACTCTCGTTTCCGTATCTTCCAGTTTGCGTTCGCATCGATATCGGTTATTCGTCATTTGCTGATCATCGTTCGAATTTTCCGTGTAAACGTTCGACATCGAGGTTACGGTCAAAGAATATTTCAGCGATACTCCGTCGATTAAAGGATTGATTAAATTAACGTTAACGAAGAAATCCTCGAGAAATTGTAGAGAATAATTTGTTCGGTGTTTATTTTTCCAGGGAAGAAGTTGTTTGCGGTGACGTTCCTCGGGTCGATCCTCTGGATCGCGGCATATTCGTACCTGATGGTCTGGTGGGCGAACGTCGCCGGCGACACGGTTCGCATACCGCCGGAAGTGATGGGGCTAACGTTTCTTGCTGCCGGCACCAGTATTCCCGACCTGATCACCAGCGTGATCGTCGCGAGGAAAGGATTCGGCGACATGGCCGTGTCGAGCTCCGTCGGCAGTAATATTTTCGACGTGACCGTTGGGTGAGCACACGATTTTTCGCTCGTTATAGGTTTCGCCAGTTCCGTTTCGCGATTATATCCGATATTAACGATTACTTCGACTTACGCTAACTAGCTACTAGACGAGTTTCGCTAAAACTTTTAGACCATAGATTTTCAAGACTTTCCGATCGATCCCTCGAAGGAGAAGGGAAGAAGATGTCTTCGAAGACCGGAAGTTGCTCGATGTTGGAAACGATTACTTCTTGAAAGAGCCAAAAGAAACGGTCCTTCCGACAGATTCGTGCTCGACCGTTATTGGAAATATCGTTGTAGACCGTCATTGTACGCGAGGACAATCTATTTAATTGGATAACGACGATAGTAAGCTCGGCTAACAATCGTTTCCGTTCGTTCCACGATAACTTGCGTGGTTTTTTATAAGAATCTGATATCCGTTTTTGTAATACGATTAGATCTCGATACGCGACCTAGTCGACGACTAGGTACTGTACGGTTGAAAGAAAAATTTCCTACCGAACCGATCGAAAATTTCTGACAAAAAACGATATCGAATGTTTCTCGTTATACGAGTAGAAGAAAATTTCACCGTTAGGCGATCCTTAAATTTCGTGGTCGCTACGATGGATAAGCGTCGAACCGCCTCGAGCGCATAATAAAACTTTCGGATCGCTCGGTCGAACTTCTCGAGCCTATTTAAAAATCTCGAACGATTTAACTGTCTCCGCAAACATTCGAAGCATTAAAAGTCTCGGAACGTTCGAGTCTTTTCGCCGAGGATAAAAGTTCCGTCGATGTGTTTGACCAACGAGTTTAACGCGGCTTCGATCAAATTTCTATTCTAGCGAACACTCTTGCTAGAATGTTGGCGTTAATAAAAGAAGGCCCTTACGTGTTTCTAATTCCATTGTATCGTTTGATATACTATCGAAAGGTTGTTCGCATTTATGAAAAAACGACATTTTATAAAATGATCATACAAAGATCGAACAGATATTATTACGACGAATCGAGCGAATTCGAGCACGCGTCCATTTGCTCGTCGTGTTCGTAATCGTCCCACTTTTGAACGAATCTCTCATTCAGCAAAATTTATCGGCGCCTCGACCGCCAAGCCGGTTAAATTAATTAACTCAATTAGCCTAATTGCTTCCAACGACTTGCTTCGCAGCCCCTACCGTCTACCCTCCACTGCAGTTTCCTTTTTTCTCGAAGAAATATCGCCTGAAAGAGGCACGATGCTAACTCCTGGCCGACGCTTAGCAACGGTAATACCTACAATTAGAAAAATTAACACGATTTCGGAAGCTACTCTGTGACAACTCTGTAACTGCGTCATTCTTTCAATTACGAGAAGGTGTTACGGTAGGATAATCGGTGTAATACCGATACAGATGTTAATTGTTGATAAATAGAAATTATTATTGGACATTGTCGGTTTGGTCGTCGAGTAAACGAGAAAAGGATTCGCGCGTGAATCGGGACTCGATGCTGGATCCTAGTGGAAAATGAGTCGCGTGTGTGGCACGGTATTTCTGCTATTTCGCACGGCAACGATATAATAATACGGAGAGGAAGACGGGGGAAGGGTTGGCGAACGAATGGCGAACGCTATTAGAGGAAAATAGCGAGAATACCTGAATGGGCTGGCGCAACGACCAATTCCATGCGTCTCCTCTTGGCTCCATTTGATCATCGGTGAAATTCCAATTTATACGTTCGAATCCTCTGTTCGTACAATAACTACAGGCGATACCGATTATACCGGCGATACCGACGAGTTTTCCAAGCAATTTGGTCACGCGAACACACATGTCGCGTTTTAAGGATTCGAAGACAGGAGGACGTCGAAAAATTTCTCGATTCCCGATGGGTTCTCGGTAAGTTTGAAGCTTTCTTCTCGTTCGGTGATCGAGAGAACGAAGAAATACGGTAATTACGAATAGAAAGATGGAAAGTTTCAATGTAAATTCAGCGTAATTACCAACTGTAAAAGAAATATCAAGATATTCCAACCTAGCCTACGAACGAACGCGTAGAATGCGCGCGCACGGACGCACGACTTCCTGGCAACGAGGCTGCTTCCGTCCAGCAATCGACTCGATCGAAGATCGATTCGGTTGCACGCATCCGTTGTCCGGATGCCAGCTGGCAAGTTGCCCGAAAACAGAGAGCGGCGGAACGTTCGCGCGTCCCTCTCGAAACTTCCCTGGACTGGCAGTTCACGGATAAAAAGGCACGTAGATTTCGCGTAAGTCCCGATTGCACCTCGCAGATTACGATTACGCCGAGTCAGAGAAGAGAATAACGCTGAAAAGGTTCACCGTTAAGCAACGAGTCCCGTTTCAGGGTCTATCGAATACACCAGAGCCCCTCTCGCTCGGTGTCCTAGTTTTCCTTCGATATCTGTGTTGTACGGAAGTGGAAGTAAACTGACAAGCAAAGGGATAAAGAGAAAGCGTAAAACGTGTATTTCGGTAGTCGAAAATACGTATGTAGGTGGGAAGGAAATTTGATAATCTCTTTCGATCGAACTGTTCGGCTCCTATTGGCTCGCGAAGGTAGCCGGATTAAGGAGGTCACGAGTTCTCGTCGAGAGAACTTTTCTCCTCGCGATATTCTACGAGGATTTTAGCCTCGTTATTCGAATCGTATTTATAAATCGGATGCATATCGATGGTGTCTCGTGAAAAACGTATCTTGCTTCGAGATAAAAATGAAAAGCTCGTTTGTTAGAGTTAGTCGCGATAACGCGCGAAAAACGAGACGGTCATTGAAATGAAACATATCGTAATGTTTCTGTCCACAGGCTTCCGGTTCCGTGGCTGCTATACGGCTTGATCTACGGAAGGCCCGTGGAGGTGAACTCGGTGGGCATGGTGTGCAGCATAGCGATCCTTTTCTGTATGCTGCTGTTCGTGATACTGAGCATAGCCTGTTTCAAATGGCGAATGAACAAGGGCCTCGGTTTCACGATGTTCCTCCTCTACTTCGTCTTCGTCGCGGTCTCGTTGATGTTCGAGTACGAGTTCCTCGTCTGTCCGGTCTAGGAGCTAACAACGACAACGACGAGAGATCGAACGAACAAGAAGAGGTCCAAACAAGAAAGGGTATATACGCGCATTTTACGGGTCTCGTCATCGTGTCATCATCATCGTCGTCGGCGAAGTCGTTTTCACCCGACGAACGGAAAAAGAAAGAAAATCTTCCTCGAGCGCCGCATGAAAGAGGAGCAAACGACAACAACAGCCTTCCCGAGATTAACTATCGAAAACTGTTGATGCATCATCCCCTACCTCGTTCCCCGTAACAGCCCCCTCGTTAACCCTTATCCGTCGCCGATTATATTTCATGGTTATACAAGAAAAAAAAAAAAATCAAGATACAGCCGAGGCCAGCGTTTACCAAGCGTTGTTTCGTTCTAGATACGAATGTAAATATATTATAGAAAACCTTGAAATACCTGAAACAAAATACTCATCTCGTTTAAGAATTAACAAAAACGCGACGCAAACCGTTCGAGCGAAACGGCCGTTGCGTCGGTCAATATTTAGACGCAGCGAGTGTGTCGGCCAATCGTGCCAACGATCGAAATTAATATTCACTTTCTATAACGTGAAATCTTTCTTGCCGCTACCGACTTCACTTTCTCCCTTTTATCTCTTCTTCTTCTTCCTCCACCTCTTCTTCTTCTTCTATTTATTCTTCTTCTTCTTCTTCTTCTTCTTCTTCTACAATGTATTTTAATATCTTAAGGAACTGGCGGAGAAATGGTGGTCTATTTCCGGTCTCTACGATCTTCGTCGAATCGGTACGCGATCGAAGAAGTACGTAGAAGGGCAACGAATTCGTCGTCGAACGTATTCTATTCTTTTTTCTTCGCGCCGCGCCGTCGCGCTCGAACTGCCAGCAGCTACTTTTTACGACTTCTCGCGTGAAATATAGGGAATTCTCCGGAAGAGTCTCTTCTTCTCGGCAAGCATGATCGACGATACCTTGGCACGATTCCATCCAAACCGACCGATGGACGATTATTCTTGTTACGACGATGGACGCTGGCCCGACCGCTCGCTGATTTCTCTCTCTCGAAATTCTCTTTTTCGCCTGTTACCGTAGAATCTTAGACACTTTACTCTATCGTGATCGCGAGAATCGACCCGACGACGAGCTCCGTCATTCGCCTGTTCGTTTTCGAGCTATCGAGTTCCTTCGATAACGTTTCGTATACTTTCAACGATGTCTCTTTGACCCCTCGAGTAGCAAGTTTCGATTATTCCTAACATTTACTCAGCTGGTCCCAAAGATCGGTGTTCAGCGATCGAATATGCTTTCGACATGACCGCCATTCTACCGCATAGAAATTTCGCTCGAACGAGATTTCCTTTTCTCTTCTACGATCTACGTTAACGCGATGTCGCTCTGCTAACTTCGAGGCAGTTTCACGATTTAATATGAACGAAAGTTTACGCGAGGAAACAAAAGTTCTAAATTATTGGCAAAACTTTTATAAGATATAAATATATTTCGTTACGAAAATACAAGATTACGCTTATACGTAGTTTGCTACTCGACGAGTTAAATCATTCGACGAATTGGAACGACGTCGCGAGAACTTATTCAGGGACAAAATATATAGCGTTACGAGCAGTCGTTTCGATTAATCGGCAGACAATTCGTAAGGAAGTATCGTCGTTCGGAAGACTGACCAACGTTGATCGCGAATATATTTGCGTCGGAAAATAAACGTCGCGAGGAAACGATGGTACGAAAACGCGAGTTGCCTCGCATCGATCGTCGAGAGGTCGTGTTTTCCTGCACGAAAACGAGCTTGACGATTGCCAGAGCTGGTCCGTGGCGTGTGCTTGAAAACGGAAGCGACGATTCGGATCGCTGGCTATTAAAACGATGACAGTTAATTGATATCTTCTATAATCGCATCGATTATCTTCTACCGCTACTCTCTTTGCACCTGACCTAGCATTGTTTCTTTCCGATTTCACCTGATTTCATCGTTTTTCGATAGAACCTAATTCTTTATTATCTTCCGATTTGATCGAATTTTTTTCTTTTTCAACCTAAACTAATTCTCTCGTATTTGAATCTAGCCTAACTCACCCTTAAAACTAACATAATCTGATTGCCCCTGAACCGAATCTAATTTTGTTGCCTTTGAACCTAACCCTAATTTTCTTATCTTTCAACCGAACATCCCCTTTGAACCTAATATAATCTGGTTGTTTTTGAACCTAACCTTATTCGGTTGCCTGTGATCCCAGCATAACTTTGTTGTCTTTCAACCTGATCTAACTTGACTTGTCTGGACGAAAAAATTGAAAAAAATTGAAACGTACTCGAAAGGCCCAGCTTCAGCCCCCAATTCGAATTCTTGTCTGTGCTTTCAAGTACACTTGTTTTTAACTTACTCGATTATTATTCAGCAAACTAGTCTACGTAAGAGGCGCGCGATAACAAAAAATCGAATCTTCGCTGAAACTTTTCGCTGACCATTCCTTCGAGTTCTCGTCTATAACACGCTATGGTGATACTTCTAGACGATGTTCGACATAATATTATCGTAAGGAAAAGCAGAAAGTATGAGAGAGAGAGAGAGAGAGAGAGTGAGGAGAAAGGAGATAGAGAAGAAGAGAGAGAGTGAAAGAGAGAGGTGTATAACAGGGGCGCAAGTGCGAGTGAGACACTGAGAGATAGGGAGATCGAAAGCGTGTTAAAGAGGGAAATTTTTAATTCACGTTGATAAATTCTTTGTTGTATAGAATGTTTCAAGTTGAAAGCGCGTAGATATAACGATAGTTGTTACGTGATATCGAGTAAATTTAAGAATACAAGGGTGAAAAGAGAGCGTTGTAGAGATAATACATAAGTGTTGTTCGTCAAGAGGGTGGTACCGCCTGAACGCCTAACAGCGGCCTAGCTTTTTACTAAAACGAAAAACAGTAAAAAAAAGAATATATAAACGGGTTGAAACAGTTACGTGATACAGAACGATGACACGAAGAATCGAATCGTTAAAGAAGAGAGATTTCAGGATGAATTTTAAGAAAAGATAAACGAGTCAAGAAGAGAGTTAACACTATGACGGCTGGTTTGTATACATTTATACTTATACAATAAGAAAAATTTCTCACGCAAAGTAAGAATGGAAATGTCAAGAATTATTTGCAAACTCATTTGATAAAATATAACATTAGAGAAGAATGAAATTGATTTATTTTCCTATTCAAACGAGATAATTTATTATCCGAATAGCTATCTTCGGACAATTTCATTCGAATAACTAGCAAGTCTCAAAAGTTGGTGTCTTTGCTCAAATAGACTTCTATTAGTTACAAAAAGGAAACGAATGATTACGAGTCACAGATTCCACAAAGTAAACGGCCGTCAAATTGTTGATTGATCGTTAAACGGAACAAGAATCGTTTCGCGTTTATTCGAAATACCATCTCACTTTTGTACACTCTCGACGCAGAACTAAGGAAAGAACAGTCCACGTTAAATTATTCTACCTTTCTGCCGCTGCTACGTCTACCTGTCGTTGCCATATTTTACCGCTAACTTCGCACGAAACGCATCGCCAGCTATCGAACTCTAGCATCGAATTAATTCTACGCTTGTAGTAAGAATTTCGTGACGATTAGCGGTGAAACTTGTCTCGAAAGAGACAATTCACCTTTTCCAGACAGACACCGTTCGTGGAAAGGACCGTCGCGATCGCGTTTCTCGATCTTATCGTCTACCTGTACCGCTCGTACTTTCGAAAAATTCTTCAACTTCCGTCGCGTCGTACGTACCAGATGGCTTTCATCGATCCTCTTAGATCATTTTCCCGAGACGAGTCCTTCATCCAGACTATATTGTCGGCCCCTACACGCTACGGCACAGTAGGCTACTCTCAAAGCTTCGAACTTTCTGGTTACACAAATATTTCCCATTGAATCGGACAGTAAGGTTTATGAGGGCGCCTATGACGAAAAGAAAGGAGACGATGGTTGCGCGAATATTGAACTAGAAGATCAACGAACTGTACAAACTCGAAACACGGTTTAGCAACGAGTGAAATATTCGGAAATAAATAATTCCCGTCTCTACGGATCGAAACTGTTAGGGAAGTAATTCCGTAAGTCATAAGCGGATGACTTAGGCGACCTCTTACGAGACGAGTTATTCCGAGCGCGGAAACAGCGTGCAAATGTCGCGAGCGAGAGGAGGACCGAGGATCTCTAGCGCGAAATAGTCGATAGGACGTAGCGTTTCTTGATAGTTTCGTTAACGGAAACGAGATGCGCGTAGCGAAAAATGCACAATACGATCTTCCCGAGATATCGATTATCGATCGAACAGAACGTTTAAAAGAACAAAAAAAAGAAACATGTATATACATATACGAAGAGAATAGAAACAAGACGACGGCGCCCCTTTTTTCGCGCCCGAACAGAAAATGTGTGTATCGCGTGTGTTTGTGCGTGTTCGAAACCAGAAAGAAAAATTAGTTTCGATGAAACGTTTTTAATCAAACATTTGTTATCGTAATGCGCATCGATATCGTAAAGACCGAGCAGTTCGTGCAAACTTTGACGGGCCGAAAAACGATCTGGATTCGCGTTATTTATTATTAGAGAAAGTAGAAGGTTCGCTAACAAAATTTATTTTCGCGAGAGATACGTGATCGTTGCTGAAGCGATCTGGCCAGCACCGAAAAGGACGATATGCTAGACGATACGCTTTCTACGAGGGCAAGGGTCGAGCCTAGAATTTCTTTTCTTCTCGTACGAAAAAAGAACGTTTTTCTTTCTCGCGAAGAATTTGTAATCGAATTAAAATCCTATATCGTGAATCGTGAGGAGAAACGAGTTCGTGTTCCTACGAACAAAGAAGGCAACCATAAATTGAGTTAGAACGAAAACGGATGAACGGAGGAATCGCGTGATAAGACGAAGGTCAATTGGAAGCTCGAGGTGCTATCGCGCTCGTAATTTGTACTTTATAATACCTTGGGATAAACCGTCGAGAGTGAGAAGCGATTCGATTCCGATCGTCGAACTTTCATTAGTCGGTTTTATCGTTTTATCGCCGCTGATGTACACGGATTTTCATTCGAATATTCGTTATTTCTTTGAAAATTTCTTAGATAGACGATAAGTTGATTTTCCGCGTGTGTCGGTCCGATCGTCTTAGCAAATGTCGTGTTCCCATCCGATCGAACAACACTAATTGCTAGCAAAAGGATACGAGAAAACTATGATAATTACGTAGAAGAAACGGAAGAAGAGGATAGCAAAAAAAAGCGTGACCGGTGACAAAAGTGTGAGCCTGAATGTACAAATATGCGTGAAGAAAAGGGAGATGATCAGAGAGGGGCAAGAAAGAGATGAAAGCCAGAAGAAATTTCGCTTAAAAGGCTTCATAAAGAAACAAAAAGAAAAAAGTATTCTCTTGGCAATGACAAGGCGCGAACGCACATATCAAAGAGAAAGAGACGTTGACGACTATATATATGTATACATATATATATGTATATACATATATATGTTATATGGGTATATGTGTATATATATATATATGTGTATATATAATGTATATGTATATATATATAAAACTGATTACTTAGCGGTATTATTAGAGACTTAAATCGTAAGGTTACCTTAGA